GGGTACACAAGACCAGGACCTAGTTAGTAGGTCTGGGATACAGGACTAGACCTGACAAGAGGAAGGAGGCTCATTGCTAGAGGAGCCCAGTAGAAATTTACAGGAAAAACTCCAGACACACAGACTTCAGAACTCACTAAACTAATGGCATAAGGGCCCTCAGACGTCCCTAGTTTCTGAACAAGGATGATACTCCAGCATGGAGCACAGCTAATACTCCAAGTGGAGGTTAAATTTAGAGGACGACTGTGAAGAGAATTAAATCAGTCATCATTGCCAAAGACAACCAGATTCATAAGTGGTTAAGTTCCCAGGAAGTTCAAAAGAATATATTAACCTAATTGTTTATACACTGTTATACACTGTTACGGAATGAAAGTTTGTGTCTCCCCAAAATTCATATGTTGAATCCCTAACTTTCAGTAATGGTTGTATTTGGAGATAGTGAACCTGTGCTCCACAGAAGCTGGTGACTAACGGAAATTCTTGAGCTTGTCACACAGAACAACTTGTTAAAAACCCCTCCACTTGTAACTTGCCTTCACTGACCAAGTTCACCTTATTTTTTTGACTCCTTAACAACCCCTATAGATAATGTCTCTGACAAAAGAGTCACCATAGTAATGGGAGGCTTATGTTGTTTTCCAGGAATTTGGAGTTGACCCCTGTCCAGTTCAAGCCAGCTAAGACTGTTTGGGACCACCAACCCTAAAACAGGGCCTGTGTCTGATAAATGACCTTTTAGATGTCAGAGGGCCAAAAACCTCACCCTTGCAGATCATGCAAAAGAGGCTCCGTTTTTGAACATGCATCCCGTGAAGAAGCATTTAACTCAGATATGCCTGCCCAGAACACCAATTACTTCACCTTTTCCTTACTTCCATTCACCTTTCCCCACATCTAAGCCCACCCTGCTTCTTTATCCCATAAATATCTCAAGCCCCTCACAATCGGGGAAGCAGATCTGATATTAGTTCTCCCCTCTCCTCACTTGCCCACCTCACGAATAAACCCTTTCTCTGCTGTAAACCTCAGTGTCTCAGCACTTGGCTTGCTGTGTATCAGGCAAACAAATCTGGTTCGGTAACAATAGGGCCCCTGAGGAGGTGATAAAAGTTAAATGAGATCATAGAGGTGGGGCCCTAGTCTGAAAGGGCTAGTGCCCTTATAGGAAGAGGAAGATACACCAGAGCTCTCTCTCCACCACTGAGGACACAGTGTGATGAGGTATTTGCAAATCAGGAAGAGAACACGCACCAGGAACCAGATCAATTGGCACATTGATCCTGGGCTTTCCAGCCTCTAGAATGGTGAGAGATAAATTCTGTCGTTTAAGCCACACCTTCTGGGTTTTGTTATGGCAGCCCACACAGACTAATACATATACCAAAATTAATTTTTGAGTATAACATCTCAAACTAAGTCGAATAAAGTTTGTCTTGTCAGCATTATTTTACCACTTTGGAGGAGAGCAAAACTGGATACCTACAGATGCAGATGTTAGTAAACAAATACTCCAAAAATCACAGCGGGCTAATTGACACTCCCACCTCATCTACTACGGAATTGGCCCACTATCTGCTAGGAATATCCAGCGGTTTCTCGGCCAACAAAACTGAGCTCTCAGTGATGCTTTCTGAACCCACTTTGCATCTGTCATTCTGTAAAAGGCATGCTATAGCTGCTTCCAAAAATGCATGACTGACAAGGTTACACAATAACTGACCTAAGAAAACTCAAGCCAAGTTCTTAATGATGATAGAGGATCCCTTGGGTATTCCTACTGTTAGCTCTGCTGTTTTTCCTTTTGCTGATGAAAATGATCGAAAAGTTCTAAGAGTCCTCAGCAGCCTGGGTGTTGAGGGTTATTTAGGACTGTCTCAGCAGTTGCTGAAGTGAAGTGGGTCCTCTGGCTCTTGGCTGTATGACTGTCTTCACGAGACGTGAGCCTTCCCAGAATGTCACATCCGGGAATCCTCCTCAGACTGCGTACAGCCTTACTGTTGATGATGGATGGATGCCATAAAAGAAGGTTATTGAGGTGTGAATTACCATCATAACTGAATTCTTCCCTGCAGTGATAAGGGCAGAGGCCTGCTTGGTTTCCAAAGGAGCTATAATATATAGCACTGTAAAATAGGTCACTCCCTTCAGCCTTATTTGCCCATATTTAATTATTATGTCTTAAAAAAGCATACACTCTACTCTGACATCTCACTTTCACAACATTCACTATACAGTAGAGTTTGGTGTTAAGCCAGTTTATTTTGGACTCCATCCAAGACAGTTTAATTAAGAATATCTAAAGTATCTTGTTATGAGATGATCTTACCTACAAATTGGTCCCACTGAGAGTGCTGTGTTAAAGTTCCCGAAGATATGTTCCCATATCTTCGGGAACTTTAACAGGAAGGAAGGAAGGAAGAAGGAAGGAAGGAAGGAAGGAAGGAAGGGGGGAGGCAGGGGGGAGGGAAGAAGGAAAGAAATTTAAGCTTTTTCTTCTTCTATTTGTATACATATACTGCTCTGTTCACTGCTATCAGACTAGGCAATTTTCTTAGCACAAGTGCGAAAGAGCAGCTCTGCTAAGGTCCAAAGGCAACCAAGTTTGCGGATGTGTACTGGACTTGCCATTGCACTTAAAACACACAAAAGGAAGAAGTTCTACGTGTCTGCAACCTCAGCCAATTGTAAAATGGAAAGAACAGTAATAATTCTAACGGTCTAAAAGAAATAATTCATTTTCCTTTTGCATAAACCTATAAAATCCTATCTAGAATATACTTTGAATAATTTTCTAACAGCCCTACTGGAAATACTGAAGAGTGGTACATAAATTATTCAAATACCAAATAAAATTAATGAAGGTGTTCCTTTCTACTACATGCAAATCCCAGAATGATGAAATGAAGTCTTATTGCACAAATTTTCCCCTTTTGTTCCCCAAAACTAGAATACATTTTGGATATTCAATAAAAGCCTATATAATGCATTTGTTTTTCTGAGTACTATAGAAGGCTAAAACTGTGTATTTCAAAACAGGAAAAATACCTTCAATACACTTTAGATGTTTGACATCCAGGATTCCTTTGTCTTTATTTTGAGAAAGATAATAATTATATAAGCAATTAGTTGGCATGATAAAAATGTAACCAGGCTTTATATATTATAAAACTGTAACCAAACATCAAACAATTAGAAGTTTTCCCTCAATCTAACATCCCTTTTGGTATAAATATGTGAGTTTTTTGCTTACATTTTTGCAAGCTTAAAAATCCATCTCTAAGTGAAAGAGAAAACTGCGTGTTTCATTTTTTCCCTATGTGTGTATAATTTTTTGGCACAAGAGATGTAATTTATATGTAAATTTTATGAATACAACTTTCATAGTTTAAAAAAGTAAATATTTTTAGAACATCATATAATCATATAAAGAATACAGCATTTGCCTAAGTACTCTTTGGATAATAGTAGTAATTAAACATATACAAACATACGTGCTTAGATGTGCACATACACATGAAACATTTGACAATTACAGTCCTGCCATATTTAATGAATTCTATGGGTTATAAAGAAACTACTGAAGAAAAAAGTTTTAGAGGTCATTATTATTTTATCCAAAATTTTGTCAAATATCTATTTAATTGAAAACAAGGAAAACAAAAACAAAAAAATGTAACAGACCAATTTATTTTTAGTCATGTCCAACTATAGGGGAAGTTTTGGAATGGTCGATTTATCTTTAAGGGGGTTATGTTTAGCATTTTTTTCTGGAAGTCTGAATCATTTTTCCAAGTAAATGTGCTTATAACTTTAAGAGGCTCCTGATTTTGAAAAGTGGCATTTCGAGCATAGTAACACCTTTCGTAATCATTTCTATATTCTCTCTGTTAATAAGCCCTCAATAAATACCTTCTGAATAAAAAAGGGGGCTAGAAATACTTTAAACTAGTCAGTTATTAAAACTAGAATTATTAGCTAACAGCAGTGCTGAGAAAAAAAGAAAGCAAAGTTTAGGGTTGGGGGCAGCAGCAGTTAACAGCCAAAATGAAAATAAATCTGGAAAGTTAGCAAAAAAAGACTGGCCTATTAAAGGGAACTATGAACTCTAAGAACTGTAAAAAAAAGAAACAAAACAAACAGATGTATGCTCATTTTGTATTGTTTAGGTGTAACCCTACAGAAAAGATAGGATTGATGTGCACACTCTCTCTAGACACATTTAAGCATCTGAAGATTGTCTGCTATCAACATTTTCATAAAGGAAGTTCTCTAAATCAAGTCAAATTAAAAGTAGAACTTTTATATATAAGGGGTTTATAAAGCATTTTAAGCAACTCCATTATATTTTTTCTTAAATTACGAGAAAATTTTAGATTATAAATTTTAAAAATGGGAAAAATTACTTTGAAATGGCCTCTTTATTTTTGTTTCTTTTTTTGAATATTCAGGTTCTGACGTATCATTATGACCTTTCAAGACACTTTTGCCTCCTGCAGGTTTAAGATGTGAGGGCATGCTCTGATCTGCCAGCCTACTGAGCTGACCAAATAGGACAAACAGAGTCCCGTCCCCCTAAGCAGGACAGGATGGTTGCTGCCCTCAGTTTCGTGCTGCTCTGCTCCCTGGACATGAAGCTCAGCAAGACTGGCTCCACAGCAGACAGAGCTGAAAGCCAAGTATGACGGGCAATTCTGCAGGTTAAGTTGTGAGACAGGGGTTCCTCCACATCCAAGAAAGCTCACTGCTAGCCGCATCCCTAAACAAGCAAAGGAAGAAAGAACGAAGTCTCTCGTCTAACCTTGGGAGGTAAACTGCCTTTTCCTGGCACACAAAGTGAAACCTCACACCCTTTGTAAGACACTTGATTTCAAAAGTGCATTTGAAAGGCAATTACCCCTTAAAAAAAGATTCCCAGATCCCCAACCCCCTTGGCAGAACTGTAACAAAAAACACTGCTTTAACTACACGATCCCTCCATGTGCCGGTTCGCTTACCGTGTCTCTGTTGACAGACTGTTTTGCCTGAGGCACATTAGTTTTACTCTGTTTGGGAAATGAAATAAATATATTAGTTATTTCTTATCAAATGGCATTTTATAGTGTATGCTTTTTCTCGAAAATAAAATAAAAAACCTTCCTAAGAGCAGAAATTTGACATAACTCAAATAAAAAATGACTTCCTTCATTCAGACAGCAGCAGGATGTATAAGATTATAACTTTTATATCAAAGATGGCTTCCTGCTTTCTTGTTCAACAATGGAAGGAAAAGGATACTGTTCAATTATATAAATCATCCCTCAGAATTTATGAGGTAATAAAAGCTAAAAAATACAGATTCATAAAGAAGAGATTTTATGAAGTAGCATTCAAAATCATTTCAGTTAATTTCTCATATATATTAGAAACAAAAAGGCTGACTTCAGGACTTTAGCTTCTCCTTATTCATTTATTAAAACATCAAATTACTTTAATCCAGGTCTCTTTTTCTCAAAGATAAAAGAGAAAATTAAAAATCACTGTTGCATTCATGAAAGAAATTTTTGGCGTCTGATTTCTAAGAATACTGCATTACGTACTTCGCCGATTTTTCTGGGTAAACTTTTCCTCCTATTATCTGCCACTGCTTCAAAATCTTGCTTCTTCTCAAGATCCTACTAACCAGGTATAGTTGCATATGTAACTTTTTAAAATAAGCTTGTCCTCTTTCTCAAATCAAAGCCAAGTTCCATCTACAAAACTTCTCACAATTAGTGCTGCTGTTTCCATGCATAAGGACTTCTTGGAAAGAATATAATGGAGGAGAGTTTTCACATCACTTTCCACAGAACAGAATGTTCCACAGTGGAATGGTAATGAAAACTATCTCAGATTTCCTCTGAGTAAGAAAAAGTACAACACTAAAATGAATAAAACAGGGGAAAAATTCAGAAAGAAAAATGTCATAATGTAGTAAGGACTTTAGTGTTAACTCTTGAGTGATAGGGAGACCAATGAAGCATTCTGAAGGGAGGAAAGATACGAACTCTTGTTATAATACAATCAATCAGACTGCAGTGTTGAAAATGTCACATGCGTAGAAATCGAGCAAACATCCAAGAGAAGGAGGATTGGCTTGGACCAGAGTGGTGGCAGAAGAAATGAGACATAATTGGAATCTGGATATATTTTGAAGGTAGAGCCAACATGATCTCTTGATGGATTCCATGTGGGTAGAAGAGAAACAGAGTAGCCAAGGATGAGTCCCAAATGTTTGGTCTAACAACTAGAAGGGGAAAATCCCCTAGAAATGGGGATGGGAGGCTGTGGGAGTAATGGGTCTGGAAGCAAATAATAGGACACCCTCTTTGACAGGTCAGGTCTAGATACACATTATTAAAAACCACTTTCCCCAAGAATACTGTAACGATGCAATGTTTCTAAATGAAAAAAAAATCAGGTATAAAATCAAATGTGCAGTGTAACTCAAATGTTGAGATATCATGCATACCAAAAACATACTGCTCTTTAAAGTGTAAACAGTTAACACTAGTTATTTCTAGACAGTAAAACAAAATATAGGTGCTTTTTATTTTCTTCTCTATACTTACACTGAACATAAATTACTTTTATAATATGAATAAATATAATAATACCTCAAATATAATATAATATTTAATATTCTCAGATCACATTCTAATGTCAGTATTTATTCATTTACTTCTCAAGATTATTTTAAGGCACATCTTTTGTGGGGATAGAAAAATGAGTCAGAGGTGATCTGGTTTCTTAAGGAGCTCTTTTATTTAATTTTATTGAAGTATAGTTGATTTACAATTTTGTGTTAATTTCTGCTGTATAGCAAAGTGACTCAGTTATACATATATATCCTTTTTCATATTCTTTTCCAATATAGTTTTATTACAGGATATTGAATATAGCTCCCTGTGCTCTACAGTAGGACCTTGCTGTTTATCCATCTTATATATAGTTTACATCTGTTAATCCCAAACCCCCAGCCCTTCCTTCCCCCATCACCACCTTCCCCGTTGGCAACCACAAGTCTGTTCTCTATCTCTGTGAGCGTTTTTGCTTCATAGATATGTTCATTTGTGTTGTATTTTAGATTCCACATATAACTGATATCATATGTTATTCGTCTTTCTGATTTACTTCACTTAGTATGATAATCTCTAGGTCCATCCATGTTACTGCAAATGGCATTATTTCATTCTTTTTTATGGCTGAGTAATATCCCATTGTATATATATACCACATCTTCTTTATTCATTCATCTGTTGATGGATATTTAGGTTGCTTCCATGTCTTGGCTATTGTGGAAAGTGCTGCTATGAACATAAGGGTGCATGTATCTTTTCAAATTATAGCTTTGTCTGGGTATATGCCCAGGAGTGGGATTGCTGGGCCATATAGCAACTCTATTTTTAGTTTTTTGAGGAACCTCCATACTGTTTTCCACAGTGGTTGCACCAATTTACATTTCCACCAACACTGTAAGAGGGTTCCCTTTACTCCACACCCTCTGCAGCATTTATTATTTATAGACTTTTTAATGGCCATTCTGACTGGTATGAGATGGTACCTCTCTGTAGTTTTGATTGGCATTTCTCAAATAATTAGCAATGATGAGCTTCTTTTCATGTGTCTGTTGGCCATCTGTATGTCTTTCTTTGAAGAAATGTCTATTTAGGTCTTCTGCCCATTTTCTGATTGGTTTTGTTGTTGTTGTTGAATTGTAGGTGCTGTTTGTATATTTTGGAAATTAAGCACTTGTTGGTCACATCATCTGTAGGATGTCTTTTCATGTTGCTTATGGTTTCGTTTGCTGTGCAAAAGCTTATAAGTTTGATTAGGTCCCATTTTTGTTTATTTTTGTTTTTATTTCTATTGCCTTAGAAGACTGACCTAAGAAAACATTGGTACGATTGTCAGAGAATGTTTTGCCTATTTCTCTTTCAGGAGTTTTATGGTGTCTTGTCTTATATTTAAGCCATTTTGAGTTTATTTTTGTGTATGGTGTAAGGGTATATTCTAGCTTCACTGATTTGCATGCAACTGTCCAACTTTCCCAGCACCACTTGCTGAAGAGACTGTCTTTTTCCCATTGTATATTCTTGCCTCCTTTGTTGAAGATAACTGTCCAAAGGTATGTGGGTTCATTTCTGAGCTGTTCCATTGATCTGTATGTCTGTTTTTGAAGGCACTCATTTTTTTTTAACAAACTTTTTAGTTTAGGATAAGTTTAGATTTACAGAAAAGTTACAAAGATATTAAAGTTCTTATACACCCTTCACCAAGCTTCCCCTAATGTTAATATCTTGTGTAATGATGGTGCAGTTGTCAAAACCAAGAAACTAACATTAGTATAATGCTATTAACTAAGCGAACAATGCTGTTAACTAAAGACTTAATTCATATTTCACCAGTTTTTCCACTAATGTGCTTTATGCTGTTCCAAGTTTTAAGTCAGAATACCCCATCGCATTTAGTCACTATGTCTTCTTAGCTTAATTTCAATCTGTAAGTTTCTTGTCTTACCTTGTTTTTCATAAACTTGGCAGTTTCAAAGACTGCTGGTCAGGTATTTTGAAGTTCTTCAATTTGAATTTGCCTAATGTTTTCCCCATGATTAGACTGGAGTTACAGGTTTAGGGGAAGAATACCAGAGAGGTGAATTGTCTTTCCCATCACATCATATCAGGGGGCACGTGATCTTAACATACCGAGAACCTCTACATTTATAATAGAAATTTCTCTACTGTAAATGTACTATTTTTCTCTTTCCATACTTTTCTCTTTTACAAATGAGTCACTGTGTCCAGCCTACACTCACAGGGAGGGAATTAAGCTTCACATTCCAGAATGGGGAGAACCTATATATCTCATATGATATTTTTCTGTAAGAAGAATTGTACCTTCTCCCCATTCATTTTTTTATTCAACCATTTATTAATAGGAACTCATGGATATTTATTTTATTTGTTATCATATATAATTTTATTTTGATTCTTCCAATAATATAGTAGAAATAGGGAGGACACATATTTTTATCAATATTTTACAGATGAGTATATGGTTCAATATGTATAAATACAATTCACAACAGAGATTCAGGGTGAAGAAAAACCACAGAGTGTTTGCTGAAAGGGAGCAAAATATACGACCCCAAAATATGCCTCTTTAATTTTGGAGAGCTGGGTATTTTTAAGAAACAGCAGATACAGGAGAAGCTCTGAAAACTGTGTAGAAGTTAACCTTCTGTAAGAGACATTTGCAGTTATAATATTTGTAAGGGTGTCTCCCTCTCTGTACCTGGAAGAAAAGGATGACTAAATCTCTAGAAACTCTTATTAATGGAGAAGGCATTGACTTAAATCTGCATAACAACCATACCCTTGTTTACTGTGCTTTGCCTGAAAAACTCCCCTGTTTCCCCCCACCCAACATCTTTCTTTTGTCTTTAGCTGGAGATGGTATTTAAGATAGTGGCTTGGACCATTTGGGAAGTTTTGCTGGCTATCTCCCATGAATACAGAACACATACTTGTTCTTAACCTTTTGTTTGTTTTTCTCCTGTTAGTCTGTCTTTTATTACAGGGGAATGTCTTAGCCAAGAACCTAGAAGGGCAGAGGGAAAATTATTTTTCCTCCTCCAAACTCGTAATTATGCACCTCAGAGGGAACCCCATATGGGAACCTTTGGTAGCTTGGGCATAAAAATGAATTATAATAAAATAACACTTCAAGAGATATAGAATTTCCACAGAACTCTAGACAATAGTTGCAGGAGACAAATCAGTTGTCTTATAGGGACTACATTCTTTCCATTTAAGTCAAACCTAAAAGTTGGCTATGAGGTCATAACCACAAAATAAAGAATACACTCATTTATGCAATACGATGTCTATGCTTACACATAAAGAGCCCCTTCCAAAATTGAAGAGTAAACCACATTTACTTCGCCTTATGTACTAGAGAAAATATCTATGAAAAAGAATAAAAAAGAAGTTACTTTTGCCATGAGCGGAAAGCACACCCAAGGACA